GAAAGTTAATGTGCGGGCCGGACGGGTCGACCGACCATCGGACTGATTTACATGGCGGTCAGCAGCAGCAGCAGCAGCAGCAGCATTCGAGAGAGGGGTTCAAGCTTTCTCTCGTCAGACTTGCGGTCAGCTGAGGGATGTGGCGCCCGATCGTGCCCGCACGCACGCCGCCTCCCGCTCGAAGCAGGCCGCGCTTGAAATTCAAACCGTGGCGTCTTCCGCGCAAGCTCCCGGACTTTCATTATTCTCGGCTAATCTATAATCTGCCTCGGGAGAGAAAGTTCAGTTCCCGCAACGACAACAAAATCCGTTCCAATCAATCCCCCCCCCCCCCCCCCGCCTACCCCCGTCGTCGTTGAGAAAAACAAGCGGCTTGCACGAGAAACTTTCGAGCGATTAACTCGCTGCATGGGGATCGATTGTCAAGTTGGCCTCGTGTGTGCTGGCGACACTTACAAATTAGCCAATCAAGCCCGCATGCACGCCAAATACTTTAATCCTAAAGATAAAAGTTTGGCTGGAGGAGTTTTTCCGTGGAGACGCCAGGCACAAAAACGCGAGCAAAACGAATCACTGCGTTAATCGCTCTACCCCCCACCCCGACCTCTCCGCGCCACACGGAATTCAGATAAGAGCTGAGCGCGCGTGGGCAGGATGCTGCGCGTGGGAGGAGGTAAAGGGCTGATTTCGTGCACGCGAAAGATGAATGGACGCAATGGGCTTTAACTTTTCTTTTTTTTTTCTTGCCGCTATTTGTTTTGCTTGTGAACGCGCTCGCACGCACGCACGCACGCACACACACACACACACACACACACACACACACACACACACACACACACACACACACACACACACACACACACACACACACACACACACACACACACACATGTGTACAATCGAGCCGCGATAAATACGTTTTACAAAATTGAATGCATTTGCCTCTTCGAGCGTGAAATATGTAGCGCTTTGTTTTTCACTAGTCGAAATCGCTCCGACGCTGACGATATCAATAACGTCAGCGTATTATGCAGAAACATGACTGCCATGTAAATCCACCTATGTCCCATAACCGCCGTCTTTTCGAGAAAGTAACAAATATCATTGTCAACAAAAAAATAAAAGCCTTCTTCGCTTTACCCAATGTCCATCAATGTATTTATTCTGCGTCCGCGCGCAGTGCGTTATGCACGGGAACGCGCGCGCGCGCACCTCCCGATATTCACGTTTTGCTCGGGCTCGTGCGCGCGCGTGTGTGGGGGTAGAATATACGTTGAGCAAACAACAATAAATATATTTCGCGCACACGGGAGAGAGGAAAAAAGAGAGAAAGAGAGAGAGAGAGAGAGAGAGAAAGGGCAATGCGGGTCCAACTTCCGAGCGAGCACGTACGAGCATAGCTTAGCCGTAATCTGACTGCACACCACCCCTATTTCAAGCGCGTACACCCCCCGCCCCCGCCGCCCCTCGACTTCCGAGGATAGCCTGGCGCTGACTGTCCACTTGTCTATTTTTTCACGAAAGCTTCCGCGCTTGTTTTTCAAGATAGCGCTCTCTCGTGGAATTATTTTCAAGGTGAGCTTGTGCCGAGGGAAGCTCTTGAGGACCGACGGCACAAACTTGAAGCTCGCTCGAAGTATTTCAAACGCAACTCCAAAAGCTATCTATTTCAGCATTGCTTCAGCAATTTGAATTATTCTCTAGTCTTGTTCTTCCGAAAGCTGTAACGATGATATGGAGAAATTTGGAGGGAGCTGCACCGTATCTCCTCACTTTTCGAGAAAAAAGAAAACATTCCTCAAGACTGTCGTCAAGGCAGCGATAAAGTCATATTCGTTTTCATTCTCGACTGCCTCGCGTCTCTATCTGGCACTCTATTTTTTCGTGTGCTAGCTTTTGCTTGCTCGCTCGCCGTCCTCTGCTATCTCTCGAAAGGCGGCGAAACGCAAACGGGCAGGGTGGCTCGTTGCGCGCGTTCACCTGGCGAAAGAATCCAGCGACCTGACCGGAATTTCATTAGCCGCCCACTGCTGCAGCTAAAAACGAGGATGAGCACGTTTGCCTTAACTTTAATCTGGTCGCGCGCGCAAGTTGACGAGTAAATGAACATTTTTCAAAGGAGGCCACTTCCCTTTAGCGCGTTACGCGCTCGGTTGATCCTTCCCACGGTCACGGCCTCGCTCGCGCAAACTGTCATCGAGTGCAGTCGTAGCTAAGGACGCAGCTAGCAGCTAAGCTCCCCGTTAAGATCGACATCGAGCGTTTCGATTAGACCTGCACGCGGCTGCCGGCAATTAAAGAGGCCGCACCACCGCCGGAGGGAGGCGGCGGCAGGCGAGCATTTCAATCGTGCGCGCGAGAACAATGCACGCGAAAGGCAAAGCCTCTAATGAGCCAAAAAGGGCGGCTGCAAAAAGGGGCACACTCGCGGCGGCAAGAACAACAAGCAGGAAGCGTGCGCGTACAACGCGAATGTAATTTAACGCGCAAAAGGGGCAAATATTTCGCATGAAATAAATCTCGAGTTGCCGCCGCTAATGCTCGCGCGGAGGCTAATTTAAGGGACGTTTTAAGCTCTCTCGCGCGAGAGCAAAAACTTGACGTGTTATGCCGCCCTCCCCGCGCGCACGTACGCGCGCGCACATACCGTACCGCCGCCGCGTAATTAGACATTAGCATTCCGAATGAGAGCTGAAACTGGGAGAGGAGAGAGAGAGAGAGAGAGAGAGAGAAAGGCCGCCGCTCGCTTAATCTTGGAGCGAGCGCGGCCAGCTGATAATGCTAACGGGACTTGGCCATTTTTAAGTCTTATTTCCTGGATAATTGCTCGCTCGCGGAAGCTGCCTAATTTATTTGGGCGAGGATTCCTGATTTAAGGACTTTTTGCCCTCTCCTCGTGGCCTACCGCTCGCACGGGCTGCGAACAACTATATGTCCTGTGATTTGGACCGTTGGCGCTTATTTTTAAAGCGAGCTTCGTCTCATTGAGTCGTCGCGTCGACGAAAAAGTAGACGGCTACACTCGTAATGTACTCGACAAAAAGAGAAAGCGTAATAAACGTCGATCCGATATCCGGTCATCCGTCACTGATTCCGAAAAATTGTACCTCCTCCATATTCAACGTCGCAGGCAGCCTAATCCGTTTTCTCTCGCTGCTGCTCCCGGCGTATCCGAAATCTCCAATAGAGGCTGGTCGTCGCTAAGAGAGCTCGTTATCAGAAATCCCCGGGAATTTGCGATTCAAAGTGGCGCTTCCTCAGGAATGTACAAACCTTTTGCAGAGCAAGGAAAGAGAGGGAACAATGTCGTTGTCATCGTCGTCGTCGTCGTCGTTGATATGAGACAGAGAGGAGGAGGAGCAGGAGGATGGGCGATTTGCAGAATTTAAACAGTCCCCAGGGGGGATAAGGCGAGGAGGAGGATTACACCACACCACCTTTCCTTCCTGCGGGATAAAACAAAACACTGGCCCTGAGTATATTAATGCCGGGCTTAATGCGCTCTGCTGCTAATTAATGGACCGACTATTCGCTCTCTCTTTCTCTCTCTCTTTCGCTCGCCATGTCTTTCCTCTTCTTTTATCGTACACGTCACGCGCGCACCGCGCGGGCCTTGCGGATTTCACCCTCTACTTTTAGCTACCCCCCTTCCTCCTCCGCCGCTGAGTTACAAATCTTGCAGATTTACGTACTCTTATAATTAACGTAATTGCGCTTTACGTAATTTTAACAGAGCCATCTTACTGGAGAACACTTTTGAGACAATACAAAGGAATACCGAGTATATTTAAATCGTCTTTCACATTAATTTGAGATCTCGCATAATCAGCTACACGAGGCCATAAAAAAATATATGGTTTAGCGAAATTTACATCTACTGACTACTTCAAAGGAAACTTGAACAAAAGTAACGGGACACACATTATGTCCTTTCTCCGCATTCCCTTTCCTCCAGATCAGACGAGCCGTCGCGATTTTTTTACTCCTTTTCTCTCCCAGCAGCAGCAGCAGCAGCAGCTTTGGCAACTTTGCGCTTGGCCATGTCTCCAGCGTGGTACGGGATTTTGCATACGCATCGCCGTTCGTTCCCCTTTTGCGAGATAACGGAAACTGGCATAGAATTAAGGACAAAAGCCGCTGAAATGGAAAGCACGTTTGGGGCAGCGAAGTAGTCGTCGGCGCGTTGAGTCTTTGAATTTCCCGCGCCTCCGCTGCTACGGCTGCCAACGTGAAATTAGCTGGTCAATTAGCCGGGAATACGAGAAAACGGGCTACGCTGATAAGGACGCTCTAATGGGAATTTATGGTTTTTGTTGTGCACGGGAAATATGATGGTCGCGTCGCTTATGGTCCCTTTGATGATGTTGGAATGAATGGGCCGAGAAAAAATTGAAGCTCCGTTAAGTGAACGAAACAATTCGGTATCACGTTAGTTATTAACGAATTTCTACGGCAGTTGTCGAGTTATCTTCTTTTAGTTCTAGCATTTGTTCTTAACTCTTGAATACAGCGTGATCATTTAACGCTCGCATGCGTCCCTACTCACTACCAACTTTCGACATTCTTACTTTATATCTTTCTATTGAAAATGAATAGTAGTAGCAACGACAATTTATTCTACGTATTTCTATCTAAAGCTATGGCATTTAAGACGAATATATATATAATTAAGAGGCATCTAGAAGTGGCGCTGCAAAGTTAAGAAAGTGCAAAGCCAAAAGAAATCTGAACGATCGTCTGGCAAGCTTATCAGATGCCTCAGAGGATCAGAATTCCAATGCTGGAAGCTGACGGTGCGCGCAGGTGTGTACAGCCAGAGCGAGAGAGAAAGAGCGAGCGGTGTCTCTGTCGCACCTCTCGCGCGGGCGCGATCGGTGGGGTGGGGGCGAGGGTGTGACCTGTGCGGTCAGAGAGCTTTCGGTAGGCGGAGCCTTGGTAGAGCTGCGCCGAGGTGCATCGCGCAAGCACAAGACTTTTCGCGACTCTGCCGAGCTTGCGCTCTCGCGGCAACAAACCCACGCGACGAGTCTCGCATCGTCCTTCGCTCAAGCGGCGCGGTTGCCCTCACCCTCGTCGTCGCGCGTGTGCCAGCCACGCGTCTCTCTCTCCTCGCAAGTGTGCTGCTCTCTTCGTCCTCGTGCTGCCGCCTCGCTTTTCCTTTCCTCCCTTCGGGACACTCTCTAGGCCTTCTCGCGGCTTTCCACTCGTGTGTTTCAATCGTCATTCGTACTCTTCAGGTAAGGTCATCTGTTGTTTGCTTGTCAACCCTCTCGCTCCGTCAAACTTCTTTCCTCTTCCTATAAATTTCATTGACGCGAGCCATAATCCGATCGATCATTCGAGCAATGGAAAAAAGTTAAAGTTTATAAAAAAAAAGCATCACACTGTATTATACCAAGCCAATACTTCGCTGTCAATGCCGTGGAGCCCAGTTCGTTTATGAGGAGAAATTTTTCACAATCGCGCGGTGAAAAGCAATAATAATTTTCCTCGATACATCAATAAATCAAAGGGGCGCAACGGAACGGCAGCTGCTGTACAGAATTATTCGAAATATTAAATTATTATTTGAAATTTGATGCGTGCGCACACGAGCGAAGTTTTACATTATAATGATCATTAAATCGAGAGAGAACGAGATATATACAGAGAGAGAGAGAGAGAGAGAGAGAGAGAGAGAAGCTAGAGGAAAGCGCGCATTACATTGCCTCGATGAATTGATTATAAATGATTCATTGATTCGCTCGTGTATTACTGGAAGAAGCGCGTATTTTCGGAAAATTAAATATGGTATAACATTACACAAGCCCGTGCACACACACATTGTAATCAATATTATATGCTTGCTGGATTATCGCAAATGTAAACTAGTAAGTTTGCGCGCGTGCGCAATATTGCAATTAGGTTAATTAGGAAGGCAAGGGGAGAGAACGGTTCTGTCAGTTCGCGTGCGTGGCACAATTGATATTGTTGCAAATACAATATCGTATTGATTAGTGCGGTAAATATTAACCAACGAAATTCCGATTTCTATCGAGGGATGTACGCGCTCGAGCGAGACTACCGTGCCAGGGACAAGGGAGGGGAGGCGAGACCGTGCGATAATTCCACGGGCAACGATTGTCCAACGCTCTGCGAGAGACATTTCTTCCTTAACATCGACGAGAGACGCCCAGCGATCGGCAAGTGCGCCCGCGAAACTTTCACAAAAATCAAGTACAGTGCCGCGAGGCCGGTTACGAATGCTCCCAAAGCGAGGAGATGAAGCACCGATAGACTCCTTGACAGTGACGTGTCTTTGCGGCCAGACGCGGAGAATACAGTGGGGCTCGGTTAGCGATCCGCTTTGTGTGTGTGTGCGTGCACGGTTCACGCTCGATCGAACCGATTCTACGGGGGCAGTGTTCCGCGAAAACGATCGAGATAATCTTGCTCAAGCCGCTACCACCGCCGACGATCATTTATCAAGTTGCATGCCTGAAAAACTTTCGGCGCCGCGCGCTTTTCAATTTATCTCTGGCCAGAAAACTAGGGATTCATAGGGCCCGTGAGCGACCATTTAGGCACACGAATCGTGCGTTACTTCATCGTTCATTCTCGAGCTTCGAGCTCCATCGATAAATCGCTCTTATTCAGGTCTCCTGCGCCAGGCACGAACAAGCCATCATCGAAGCTTTCGTTTTTCATCTCGATGGAGTTGAGATAGAGGGAGAGAGAGAGAGGGAGAGAGAAGATCGCTAACGTAACGCTGACCACTGAAAATCAAACTCCACCACACTCCGGCGTAAATCAATTTCAAAGTACTCCGCAATCACAAAGTGATTAACCGCATCGCTCAGTTGTACACTTAAAAAACAATGTACAAAAGACATGCTTGGAAGGCAGCTTAATGAAGCATCATCTAGGCGAAGAAAAAACAAGTCCTCGAGAAGCTAATTGACTTAACGTTTGATAAAGCCTACATAGCGGCATAAAGGGGGGAAACGAGCAGTCAACGAGGGGGTTGGTTTCGTTGCAAGCCTATGATCGGAGAGTGAGCGAGAGAGAGGACGACCTAATCGAATTATCTTCGCTTTGAGGATCAGGCACGTGAGGCTACTTCTCTCTCTCTCTCTCTCTCTCTCTCTCTCCCTCTCTCTCCGCGCGGCACGGTCGCGGACCAATGAGCCGATGACGACACCGATGTGCAGACGGTCTGCTAAGTTTGCTACTCCCGCTGTCTCGTGGTAAAGTGATGAAACATAAACAATGTACTTCGACGGTCCTCTTTCGAACTACGCTTGCCAGCCGAGCATAATTTTCAAAAAAGTTACATTAGCGAATTAAACTGGCGAGCGCCGAGCCGGAAACAAAGCAGCCGCGAACCAACTCGCGGAAAGTATGTGACCGGGGTAGTCTTGCGGCTGACCCACGCGAGGCTTGGAAAACAAACTTGCGCGCGCGCGCGCGCCACAGGCATTTCGGCATCGCAAAACGTCGGTTTCGATCATAACGAAAGTGAATCATTCAAGAAACGAAGGTTCAAACGCTCAGGGAGCATCACGGATACAAGCTCGGCCACGGGAATGCGCGCAAGACTGCTTGGAATGCAGTGGTCCACGCGCCGATATTCCACGGCCGCAGAGGCGTGGGCCAGCGAACGCTCGCTTTCGAAAGAATCGTCCGCTCGGACGCTGACCCATTACGAGTACGAGGCCTCGAAGTCCGAATCTATCGGCAATTGCGCGGTCCTCGGTCGATAAGGCGACTTTAATTTCTACGAGCGCGGCCGCCCTGCGGAGAGCGAGCCGAGTGTCCACGGCATACTTGGCAACAAAGTCGCTTAGCCTTTGCGCGCGCGCAGGCTTCCACTCGCAGCATCACGCTCGCGAGCTACGAGCAAAGTTTATGCGGTTTTCAATATGTCCTCGCTTCGCCGCGCAGCCAACTCCCTGGACACAATATCACTGGCACGCTAATATCTTCTTGCGGTTCGAACTTCTCGGTGTTGGGCGAGGGAGCCACGCGAGCTTTTCCTTTGATCCGCGAATTAAGGTGTTCGAATAGGTTTTCTTTTATCTGCCTATCGGTTGTACAATTCATACGCGAACCGGTAAACGAGGCGACTCGAATCTCGTTCATTGCAAGTAGCTCGTTTTAAAATCAAATGGGTTCCACTAAAAGATTTAACAATAAATAAATAAAATGTTCACAATCTCTGCAATGAGAATTGGCTTGATCAGATCGTCAATTTAAAGTAATGACCATGGGAATCCGATGCAAATCGATAAACATTAAGCCCGTCCGAAACAAAAGCAAAAAGCGCAAAGATCCCTGTAAAAAAAATTCTGCAAGCTGCGACGGACTGCAGTAGCACAGTAGCCCTAGCAGCGGGTTGGGGGTGGGAGGCTTTGGCAAACTAATTCGATTCTAAACTCTGACCAGGCGCGCTTTCGCGTGAGACAAAGACAGATAGAGGAGAGAGAGAGAGAGAGAGAGAGAGAGAGAGAGAGAGAGACAAAACGCCCCCGCAGAGCTCGGTGGCCGGACACAGATGGCACTAAACCGCGGTTAAATTCTCAAACCGTAACTCTAATTACTCATAGACAAGCCTCCGCTCCCGCTGTCCCCACGTCGCGCGACAGCTGCTGCTGAAACTTGCCCGAACGGACGAATAATCGAGCGTTTGTTTGCTTTTCTCTTTTTGTCTGCTCGCACTGCCAGGTGAACGAAGCTCGCTCGGGATCAAAAAATGACGATGGACGTTAGCAAGTCGGAGTCCAGCAGGAGCGGAACCCGGCAGCACGAGTGCGCGGGATGTCGCAAGCCGATAACCGAGAGGTATATTCTCAGAGGTACCCCCGGCCGCTGGCCTTCGCCCGTCTAAGCTACTCTTGATGCGTTTTGCAGGTACATGCTGCAGGCGCTCGACATGTTCTGGCACGAGGACTGCTTGAAGTGCGGCTGCTGCGACTGCAGACTCGGCGAGGTCGGCTCGTCGTGTTACACCAAAGCTAATCTCATTCTCTGCAAACGCGATTACTTGAGGTAATTGCCCCCGTCGATGAGTCTTGGCCTTCCAACTGGATTAAATCCATCCGCGATCCGAGTGTTAAAAATGCGATGTGACTTTGAACGCTCGCCAATTGGGCATCGCGAGCGCGGGCCGCACAAACGCTCGCTCGCGTTTTCCCGACAAATTAGCGCTCGAAGAGTCGAGCGAGGAACAAAAAAAAAAAGACATCGAAGGGGCGGGAGGGCGGAGGGCGCCCGAGCAAACACTTCTTTCCGCCTCGGACACGCTAATATCGTCGTCAAATATTGGGCCATTAATAAAGCCCTTGGCGTTCGAATGGGCCACCAGCAGCACCTGCGCGGCGCCACTCCCCCGGGTAATCTCTCTCTCGCTCTCTCGCTCTTCGGCGTGGCTTATATTTGCCCCGGGAGTTTGTTTGCGCGGCGTGCGGCGACGAGTGTCGGCGGGAGGGAGACACAGAGAGGACTATCGTGCACGCGCTATTCAATAAGAGAAACTCATCTGTAAAATTCGATTTGCACACTCGTTTGGTTACGAATTAGTAGCAGCCACGGGTTTTCGCCCCGACTGTTCGTCGATCGTTGCGATTCGCTGCGATCGATGGGCAGCTTTTTTTTTTCTTGTTTTCAAGCGAAACGCGACTGACGGCGCGACGGGACGCGACGGCCTCAATCAAGAAAAATGCATCCTCTAACAACGCCTACCTGAATCTCGCCAAGCAATGTACGAAAACGTTGGCGTCGAGTCGCGTCAAATCATCATTGGAGATAATGCCACGAGTGAATTTATCATTTGCAGATTATTCGGAAGCACCGGTCACTGCGCTGCCTGCAGCAAAATCATTCCAGCGTTCGAGATGGTGATGCGCGCCAAGTCGAATGTTTATCACCTCGAGTGCTTCGCGTGCCAGCAATGTAACCACAGGTAATTTACGGCCTCGCCTTATTCACACTTTTATCTCGCGGTCGCCGCGCGTATCTTTGACGACCAGCTCAGTCAACGGTTATAAGTAGCATTATTGCCTCTCGCTCGGGTACAATAACGGGAAACAATGCAGGCTGGCGAACCAAGTTTCGGGGCTGAAGCTTGAATTGTGTCGAAGCCGAGCGAGGATTTCGCGCGAACAAAAGGAGGTTTCTTCGTCGTAAGTAGATCGTAAGTCAAGACGGCTTATGCTCGTCTCTCGCATCTACTCAATCATTTCGTGGCGGAACAGCTCGAATCCCTTCGTTAAGGCCACTTGACTGATTCAAGTTTCGCCATGCTTCGCATGCATTATAAACTGCAGAATTAAGATTTCCAAAAAAGAAAAAAAAAAGATAAAGTGTCTCCTTCGCCCGTTTATATTTCTTTTCTATTTTGTTTTTTTTTTCTTTTCATTGACCAGCGGCAGTTCGCGAGGAGCGATCGCGCACTCGCGATTATATTCAAATTAAATGCGGACGCCTAACCGGTAATATACCGCCGCCAATTTAGTTACAAGCCCCTCGAGAGACTCGCACACACGCGCTTTTAACGGGACACACCGTCGCCGTCGTGCTGCCAACCCTTTCTCGTACGCGCGCGGGTACCTGCTTACGCTCACTTTGAATTTTTACGACGCACGCTTTCTTCCGTTTCGTTTACTGAAAAAAAGAAAAAAAAAAAAAAAAAAAAAAAAAAAAAAAAAAATCTCGCGTAGACACTCGCTTGATCGAGATGACAAAACAATAATTGAAGGCGCGAATCTGGCACGAGACGCCGTCGCAGAAACTTCACACAGCGTGGAAATTCCAACACGGCCTCAGTCAGTTTCTTCTCCCCCCCCATCCCCCTCCATCAGAAATTCAATCCGTGTACGATACAGCGAGAATTCCGAAGGAGCTCTCTCGGACTGGCAGCCGCTCTGTTCTGTCGGAGACGCGAGCGAGCGCATTGTAATGCCGCGTCGAGGTACGTGTACGTGCCGTTCAACGGAACTTTAGCGGCGCTGGCCAAAGTCCTTATCTCGAGCCCTTCCCCATAGCCTTCTCGGTAGTTTCGTGCCTTTTGTTCTTGGACTTTGCATAACGCGTGATGCTTACCTTCGTTTTTTTCCCTTTCTTTTTCGCTCGTAAAGGGCTAGCTCGCATACGGTGCAGGCGAGTTGCAAGAGTTTATTGAGCATTCCTTATGAATAAAGGTTATCGTACGAATTTTCAGTTTTCAAACGTGCAGGACCTCGCGGGCCGAATATCGCTTTAATCTTAACACGAGTCAATTCGCTAGGACCTTCCATCCTTTTAATTGGCACTGAGTCGTACGCCGACAAGTTCTGCTCATGCCGAATCCATAAACTAAATTTCATTATAATCGTAAAAGAAAGCCTAGCTTCAATTTAGAGAGCAACTAGACGGCAGCCCTCGAATAAATTTACAGCGCGTTAGGCTCAGGCCGCACGGCGTAATATTTTGTCCCCGACGTGAAATTACGGCGATCGAGCGTCGAGGAAAAAGTAATCACAGTAATCGCAAAGAATCCCGGCGAGGTGGAGAGCTCGGGAGAAGCTTTAAAGACCAGCTGGCGCGCGCGTGAAAAAAAGCGGCGAGCCGGGCGCGCGCGCGCGTGCGTGTGCGTTTTATGGGCTCGCGTGAGCCCGTCTCGCGCGACTGCGTCCGTTTCCGGCCACGCGGGGCCGAGCGAGCGAGCTTTTCTCCTCGCTTTACGAGCCGAGCTCTCGATCGCGACGCCCGTGACTGCCCTTCTCGAAATTGGCGCCTCGCTTCGCAGCGCGGGCCCACCGACTGCGATCGGCGACGGGCTACCCAAGAGAGAAAGAGCGCCCGCGACGGACGCGCCGACGACGATGAGACACAGCGCAGCACAGCGCTGGCGCGAGGCCACGAGTGACAGGCCGAGTTGGGCACGCCGAAGCGAGCGCAAGTCGGCATTAACTGGATTACGAAGGAAGGGAGGCGAGAGATTGAGCAGCAGGCGGATGGATGTAACTAATACATATACGCGCGTAGCGCTGGAAGTTGTCGAGGATTCGCGAGTTTTCCGAGAAATTAGCCGGAGATGATTTGCATCTGACGTGCGCTTTTAGCCCCTCGGGCGAGGAACGCACGTCGCTCGCATAGTTTTCGCTGCCCCCCCCCCTCCCCACTCCCCCCGCCACCACACTTCGAAAACTTCTCTTTTCACCAGATGTCTCGCGCCTTCCGTCAATTATGCTCTCCTTAAGCGCGCTGGATGTATCTCTCAAGCTGCTACTCTTTACGGCAACTTTGGGATTTTGTCGGGTGTTCTGCTTACTTTTTGACGCCCGTAAGATTCGTTTTCTTTTTGAACAGCGCAGACTGTTAATTTTTATTTTTTTTACGCCGAAAAATGCACGAGTCGATGAGGGATTGCTGGTCGGTCGATCTAACGCTGATAAAAAGAAAGATATTTTTCCTATTTCTTCACAGTTTAATTCAACAAATAACTACCATCATGATTTTGATAATTTTAAAAGTTTAAATTTTAAATATCCAGCATTAATGGCTTATTCATTTTTCACTCATGTCACGGTAGCTTTAAATATTACATAATATATAAGCAGCCACTTCTCTGCGAGTTGTACGCAAGTCGTAGCACATATTGTTATTGTTATTAATTCAAGATCATGTGATAATGATCTATTGACGACGTGCGTAAAACTTTAATAAAAGAGTTAAAAATAAAGAAATAGAAAAAGGTGTTTCATCAACACGTACCCACAGGGCCAATACGCATATCTTCCCAAATTACAATGTCCAAGTTTTTCAAATGAAATTACGACAGTAGTTCAATTGTTTAAACTTTTATACATTTTTATAAAATTAATGAAACAAGATAATTTTTTTTTTCTGTACTTACAATATCCACACCTCCAAGCCACGCAATTAGTGGACATCCGAACTTGGACCACAAATCGAATCTGAAATAAAAAGCCAAAAATGTCACGCGTTCTATGAAAAACAATGTTAATCATGAAGAGAAAAATAGCGCAAACGCAAAATTATAAAGTTTTGCTGTGGCAAATTTATTGCCATTAGCGCACGCTCATCGCTGAAATATTCAGACGGCAGCGGCTGCGCGAATCCAGGCTGGAGACTTTGCCGAAAACCCTTTCCGCGGCGCATAACAATTTAATTGAAGGCAAGCCAAGCGAGCGCGCGTCCAACTTTGCAACACTTCGCTTACTTATTCACAACAAGCGCGAGTTAAGCTCGAAAACTCGTTCGACTTAAGGAGGAACACCTCGCTCCGTCGGATCTCTGCCGGATGGAGATAATCGAGGCATCCGGAATCAAAAGGGCTTTGCTGCTGCTGCTGCTGCTGCTGCTGCTGCTGCTGGCCGGATTATACAGTGCGCGCAAGGGAGGGAGGAGGCAGAGTATAGCTTTGGAATATTACGAAGCGCTTATACAGTTGCGAATTTTGTCACGGGACGAGTCGCAGGGCGATAGCAGCGAGAGCCGCGACTTAATCAACGATCAATGGCCGAGCGGAAGAGCGAAATGCGACGGCCTAAATAGCCATTGCTCAAAGCAAGTGGCGGCGATCGAGCGGTCGCTTTGTCAGCGCGGACAACGGCGCGGCTCGCTTTCGCTGCCGAGGGCCGGGACTTTCGAAGCTTGGCGAGATCGTCGAGTGGCGCTCGGCACTTTTCGCGGCAGCGATCTCCCGCTACTCCGAGCGGCCTGAATCGACGTGCCAACGAGTCCGACTCGCTCGGCAACGTATTGAACCGCCGCCGCGCTTATAATCGAGGACGGCCTTGGCGCGGAGAAGCTTTAAGCTGCTCCGGAGAAGCGCTAAGCTCAACTTTAGCGAGCAGTAAGCCCTAAGCCTATGGCCGAAATTGGTTAGATTAAGCCATCGCGCGCTTCGCACGACAGTTATTCTCTCTCCGAGCAGTCACCCGTACGAGTCCTGCCGCTGCGTGCAGCATTGAAACGCCATCGGGCCCTGCGAGAAAGTCCATTGCCCATCGTCGTCGCAACGAACTGTCGTTCTTTATTCGAATCGTCCTCCAAATTACTCATCGACCAATTTCAGACAATTACGTAAGGCATCAAATATGGACGCAGTAGCTCATGTACGCAGGTTATCAATCGCCAATCTTTTATGGTTATCCAAGATTTATTACACAGAAAGCGCCACAAAATAACGTTCGGTTTAAACGGCGTTCGTATCGAAAAGCACAAAGTTCGACAAAACTACGATATACGCCGAGCCACTCAAGGGCAAATATTTATAAAGCAATATGTAGGTGTCCTTGCGCAAGGTTGACAGTAGACGAACGGACTGCGCGAACCACGTTCGTGCCTCAGTCTCGCCACGTGCCTTATTGGAGTCTCTGGGTTCGTCTCAAAAATAGTATAATCTTTCGCACACAAGATACACCAACGCACTAACGAATTCTCTGAAGGCACCGTCTCTCGCCAGCATATTTTCATCGTCAGACGAGATAAATTTTCTCGCTGCTTCCAGCGCTGTTACTTCGAGGCGGAGCTCGTTATCTTTGAACGCCTTCCATTTGGCTAGCTCGTCTTGCTCAAAATTCGAATTAACTGTTTTCGCAACATCGCCGTTCTCATGTTTTTCATTGGAGGCGCTCCGCTCGAAGGATCCCTTTCTACCATCTCTGCTTGCCATGATGATTCTTAAAGGAACAAAAAATCTTATGTATCGTACGTGTATACCACTTATTCGGGACTAAACAGTAACTCTTGCCAAATTATCCTACCAAGCAGTTCGATTAAAACGTCGAAACATAAATTTGTGTGCGCTTTTTTTTTTTTTTTTTTTTTTTTTTTTTTTAATTTATTAAACGGGCATAAACCCATATCAAGATACATATAAATATAATAATAAAATATATAATATAAACATAAAGAAGTATAAATAATTAATAAAACGACAATAGTGAGAAGAAA